AGAGCCCCCCCCCCCCAAAAAAAAAACCCCCCAAAAAAAAAAAAAAAAAAAAAAAACCACCCCGTGCTAAGGGTCATTCGTACTAGCTCAGCATTTCCCACCCAGGGCTCTGGTCAGCACACGTCACCCTTGAAATGCTCGTAGGTGGTCATGAAAAAGGGATCCTGAGTCCAAATCTGAAAAACTGACTAAAACAAAGCAGCAGTATTTACTGTATGAGTTCTTACAGTTTTTACTTGGCTAATATGGAGGCCAGCAGGTGGCGTGGACTCTCACATGGCTGACCATGGTTAGAGTCCTGGACTGGTGGCTGGACAATCATGCCAGGTACAAAATCCCAAGAGGAGAATCCAGAAAGGACTGCAGCATAGCCACCCCCACAGAGGTGATTGCTCACTTTCTCTCTCACTTTCTCTGGTGAGTGCACATGCCTTATGGCAAAAAAAAAAAAAAAAAAATTAAAAAAACAAAACAAAACAGAAATTAGGGCCCAGCAGATGGCACGGCATAGTTACGTTGCTAGATTTGCACATGGTTGACCGTGGTTTCAGTCCCCAGCCTGGTGGCTTGAAACACAAAAGGGCACGTGTGCATGCATGCCCAAGATCCTAGGAGGAGAACAGAGGAGAGGAGACTGTGGCATGGCCATTCCCCCAGGAGTGATTTCTCACTTTCTCTTTCACTGCCACTGTCTCTCTCTCCAGAGAGTGCACATGCCCTAAGGCAAAACCCTCTAAAAAAAAATTAACTCATTAACTAATTTTTTTTAAAAAAGGGCTGACATGTACTGAGAATCTCCAAGACACAGCCTTTTACAGAGAGCACTCAGTAACATCTTAAGGCTGCCATAGTCCAAGGAATGTGTTCAAAGACGCTATCGGGTCACCACGTCCCTCCTTCCCCACCTTGTGCCCTTGTCCTCAGCCTACTCTCCCTGCTCCCCTCCCCCAAGGAAGGTCAAGTTTAACATAAAAATCATCACCTCATTGTGTTCTAGACAGGCAATCATGATCTCCGACAAAATAACGACCCCAGTTCTTCCTACTCCAGCACTGCAGTGGACCAGCAATGGAGGGTTGGGGCTTTTTGGTTCACTTGTACTATTTGTATGGCGTCGAACAGACTGGATCTCTTCAAGGTATGCTGTGAGGAAATCAATGAAATAGAAAAATCACTCAGGGTTAAAACACGTCAAATTGATGACTCAATTTTATTATTATCTCCCCTGACTGAGAGGACTTCAAAGAGCACTGGGTGCCGATTAGCCAGCCTGACTGACGGTGTGACTGTAAGTCACTGCCACTTTCGTGTCTACAAAATAAAATGGGAACGTAGTCTCTCCTATCAGTCATGGCATTCTACTCACTACCAAATCATACTTCTAAAACTTCTTCTGTTAAGTCTCGCCAAAACAGTGACATTCTTTATTCTAAAATAAGTGAGAAGCTTGTCTGAGATAACATAAAGGAAGTATTTCAGAAATACAGGTCTTCCTTCTCTGCTTAACAGCCCCAGAGGTGGCTGTCCTGGGAACAATGGCACTTACATAAAAATCCTTTGAGGTCTTCTGGACAGCCGTGCTCAGGCCAATCCGTGTACTGGAGATGCCAAACTGTCCTCTCCTGGCCTGTGAGAAGGTGCTTCATCTTCAAGCCTGTGGTGGCATAGCAGCCAGAGTCTGTGCGAAACCGGGTTGTGATCTTAAACCTTCCATAGGTGACGGTGTTGTGCCTGGACCCAAGACGTGGCCAATACCTGAAGCTCTTCTCCCTGCCACCTTCCTGTTAGAGACAAGTGAGGTTAAACAATACACGAGCCCGAGCAATGGTGCCCTTTCTCACAGATGCTGTCGGAAACTGAGAACCACAATCCTACCCCGCCTCCTCTCTGAGGTCAGGATTCTATGCGATTAACATCATCTGTCCCTTGGAGCCTGAGAAAATCAATTAAGAGAAATGAGTACTTACCTCTTCTGCTGTCACCATTGCTATAATTGCAACTCCCTGTTCCCATACCATCTGCCAAAAATCCTGACAGGTATTCTGTAATGGTCCCTGTGTGGCAATATAATCCCATTCAATCCCACTGACAGAGACCTGTAGTTAGGAAAGGTTAAAAAATTAATGTGTGTATAATATATGTATGTATGTATGTATATCACGGTAGTACTAAAAAGTAAACTGAGTTGTTCAGCCAAATGAGGGAAGGCTTATCTCTTCCTCTTTTCCCTTGTCAGTACAGTTTCCATTACCGACATCTTTATAAACTTATGCATTGCGAATTCACATAATACCTATGTGACAATGCCCGCACGTAACAGGTACTTAATGAGTAACTGTTACTGCTTCTGTGGTTCCTCTTCTTATAAAAGTAGTATCAGCATCTTAGTACCCCAAATTCCAAATACATTTTCTTCTTGCGAAGTACTAATTAGCCAAGTACCCCCAAATTTCAAATACATTTTCTTCTTGCGAAGTACTAATTAGCCAAGTACCCCCAAATTTCAAATACATTTTCTTCTTGTGAAGTACTAATTAGCCAAAATTTAAGTTAAATGTCGTTATTACTAAAAAGTTGTGTGTGTGTGTACCCTTAGGCAGTTTCACTTCTGAATTTAAGTCAAGATCGCTCTATATAATACTAAATTTCTACTTAAGATTTAGCATCCTTGGGCCAGCAGGTGGCATGGTGGTTAAGGTGCTGGATCCCACATGGCGGACTCCCTGGTTCAAGTCCCTGACCTGGCAGCTTGAAAAACACACCGGGCACATGTACCTGCATGCCCAGAGTGCTGAGAGGAGAATGGAGGAGGGAATGTGGTGTGGCTGGCCCCTCTCTCTGTATGGTGGGCACATGTGCCCTACGGCAAAAATCTCAACAACAACAACAAAATCAGCATCCTTGAGAACAGTCTAATAAAACAGAGTGATTACTGGTTTGGTAGTTAAGCAACCTGGGTTCTAAATATATTATTTACTGATGGCAACAGCCGTTTTCTAAGTGCCCCCTAAACGGAAAGCCCTGAGCCAAGCCCTGACCCACATGCTCTCACTGAAGGCTGCCAGCCCCAGTCACAATTGCACATCCTCTCCCGGAGCACCCACTCCACGGCAGGCTGTGATCACAGCGGCAAACAAGCACAGGGGAGGAATGGATGCTGGGAGTCTACAGGGAGGTACCTCAATTTCTTTACTTAGAGAAAGTAAAATGAGGTCCCACAACTGGTAGAACTCAGAGTCAGACCCAGATCTATGCAATTTTGAAACTCATACTCTTCCCACTCCTTTTCAGGCTGTCAATGAAAATTGTGAACACTACAGTGTTTTTTAATTCTCAGTCCACGTAGTCATTAGAGACAACATGGGCAAGTTATTCCGAAGAAATGCTTGTGTTTTTTTTTAAATAAATTATGTCCACATTTAAAAACAGAATAGTACATGCATAGACTCCCCAAAATCATCAAGGGGAGCTGGCATTCCAAGGCAGATTGCCAGGTCTTCAGAAAGCCAAAGGTGTCGGACTGCATATTACTTGCAAAATAAAGACCATGTGGGAAAGAAGAAAATACCATCTGACCATAGACCCTCAATCATTCACCCACTGTAAGGAGAGTTATCCTTTCCAAAATAAAGAATTGAATCTAACCAGCATGAACGAAGCATACAATGATGGAGAAGAGAACATTTGGCTTTATTCAGCCACCTGCTGTGAATCATCACTTTTTCCACTTAAATGGGTATAACATTACCCAATATACTGTTTCTAGGAAAAAAATAAAGTGTTTCTTTAAAGAACAAAATATTTTAAAATGACTACAGGGAGCATGCAAAGAGAACAGATGGCACCTTCATAAGTAAAAGCTTTTGTGAACACCATCAAAAAAGCCCAGACATATTTGTTACCTAAAAATGTATGTAGGGGGCCAGCAGGTGGCATGGAGGTTAAGGCACTGGATCCTACATGGCCGACTGCATGATTCAAATCTCAAACCCCGTGGCTTGAAAACATATTGAGTGTGTTTGCATGCGTGCCCAAAATCCCAAACAAGAATGAAGGAAAAGAGACTGCAGTATAGCCATCCCCCCCGGGGGATGATTTTTCTCTCTTTCTCTGTCATCCCTTCCTCCCCGATGAGGAAAGAAAAAATGGGTATAGGCATGTCATGAGGAAAAACTGGCAATCCAGCAGCTCCTGAGAATCTATGCGTTAGGAAGGTATCTTCAGGTTCAAAAGGACAAAGTTCTAAAACCAGGCAGATAAGTGCTCCCTGAGTCCTGTAACAATGTTCGGGAGGACTGGTTTACCACATATGAGGACACAGTTTTGTTTCTGTCTCATAACACTTCTTATCTAGCGCTGCCATATGAATTTCCCAGCTTGTAATATGGTTTGTCAAAATGATTCCAAACTGGAGTGTTTTTGGAATGCAGACATTAATGTAATTTTTGCCATTCTTATACCTTGACTCAAAAACTACATGTATGTTTATTGATCTAGACATTCCTCTCACCTTAATATGCGAAGCATTGATATAACCAGTGTTGTTTTCTTTAGTTGGGACCAACTCCACTCTAGCATCGTCATAGGGAAGGACATCTTGGAATCGATTTCTTTCTGCATTTTCAGGGAGTCGTGCTATTGAGCACTCCCCGTCAACTAGCCGTTTCTTAAGAATTCTTTCATATTCTGTGAATACCATTCCCTGTTCTAACCGTTGTTCCAGAATTTTACACTGTAAAATACAACACACAGAATAATGTGAATACAGTCATGTGTCCCTGCTACATTTTGATTATAAATTTGAAATTTTATATTGGTTCTTCCTTCTACCTTTGTTTTCGGTCGGCGCTCATAAGAGGAGCTACTGAAAAGGTGGTTACACTCCTGTTCTGAAGGAAGGAACAGAACTAAAATGCCTCCTCTTGAAACAGATACGATGGTGGAGACAGAAGATACAGAAAGAATCGACTGTCATATGGTACAGGAGCTTAAACACCTGTGCTCAGTGATAAAGAAGGTAATGCCAGAGCGCTTGGAACTAATCAGGGAATCGAGAGCGGTAACAGAAATGTGCAAGGCGGACCGGGGACAAAATCGAATTAGTGAAGTAAATGGAAAGCAGGAGAAACCCTCACAGAATGCAGAGAAAGGGGGGAAACAAACCATGATAAGAGAAAAGAAGACAAGGAGAGACCAAGAGATACAATCTACATATAATTAGATTATCTGGACTGGAAGACAAAATAAGGAGCTGAAACAATTACTAAGGAACTGTTTAAACAAAATCTTCCAGAGTTGAAGAACCAACTAGATCTACAAGAAGAAAACATACACAGAATATCTTTAAAATTTGACAGAATTAGGGACCAACAGTTAGTGTAATGACTGTGTCGCTGAACTCCCATGTAGTCGACCACAATTCGACTCCCGAACCCGGTGGCTTAAACTCACGCTGGGCACGTGTGCATATGTGCCCAAGATCCCGAGAGGACAATGGAGGAGAAGGGACTGCAGTGTGGCCATCCTGCCTTGGGGGGTGATTTCTCGCTTTCTGTCTCTCTGTGTCTTTCTGGTGAGCGCATGCACCTTGTAGCAAAAACTTTTCAAAAAAAAAAAAAATTGACAGAATTAAAGCAACAAGTAAACATATCCTGGTAACGTTTTTAAATTTCAAGAAACAAATTAAAATTTTACAAGTCTCCAGACAGAAAGAGATAGGTTACCTGTAAAGGGGAAAAGTCTGACTGAGGTCAGCTTTTTCTTTTACAACTCCAAATGCTAGAAGACAATGGAACAGTATCTACAGAGTCTTAAAGGAAAATAAATTTAGAGCTAGGAATTGTATACCTTGCCAAGTTATTATTTCTCTGTACAGGTAACTGGAAGATATTTTCAAATATGCAGGGTTAAAGAATGTATATCAACCTAGAACCTTCCCTGAACATTCCCTGAACACTCTGCTATATGATGTACTGCAGCCAGCAGAGAATGAATCAAAATAAATGGAGCAGGGAGCCAATTGTATGAAGAAACATTCAACCGTTAAAACTAGTTAAGGAGCATTAAGTTTAAATTCTTATATATAAGGTGATAAAAATGAATACAAAAGTAGATTTGTAAGTTGGGCCTAACATTTTTGTTTATACAGTTTTAAACTGAAAAGTCATGTCAAATATTTAATATGTTGTACAAATAGGTACTGTTTTATTCTTAGTATGTAGTGTTGTAGATAAAGACAGGCATTTTCTTAAGCTAAACATAAGTACAATAAAGGTGCTTTGTCATTGTGGACAGGACTAGTGAAGGCATTCCAAATGTTAATCTGACAAAACTGGAGAAAGCACCTGGTACAGTTTTATTTACCTTACTTCTAATTATAGAGGGGGAAAAAAGCAAGATTGTCCATAATGTTAACACCGATAACATAAAACAATTGGACAGGGGATGGACAAAACCTTGTTTTTATGTACATGTTACACAGAGAAAAAATATACTTGCTGGGAACCAGCAGTTAGCGTAATGGCTATGTCGCTGGACTCCCACGTAGTTGACCGCGGTTCGCGTCCCAAACCCAGTGGCTTAAAACTCACGCTGGGCGCGCGTGCGTGCGTGCCCAAGATCCCGAGAGGAGAATGGAGGAGAAGGGATTGTGCTGTGACCATCCCCCCTGGGGGTGATTTCTCGCTTTCTGTCTCTATGTCTCTCTCTGGCGAGCGTACGCGCCCTATAGCAAAAACCTCTCAAAAAAAAAAATATATATATATATAAATATACTTGCTATGTCATTTGATAGTTCATACAAATAAGTTTGATGTTGAGATATGTCTTAATAAAAGTAGAATATGTACATCCATATTTTTGGATTAGAGAGGAAGTGGTGAAAACAGTGTAGCAAAATAAAAACATTAAGGATGCAAAACGTAAACTGAAAGAGGTACAGATGAGTTACACTCATGTACTGGCTGAGGATCCCCATTAAAAAGATTCATATTGGTTCAGAAACCAGTCTACAACCTAGGATGCGCTGATTTGTATAAAACAAAATAAATGCATTTAAAGATAATGAAACTATAAGTCATAGAAATAGAGCGCAAGGTTTTTTTACTAGCAACCATGCATGTAACAAGGTGTTTTGCATTTATAAAACAATTTTATATTATAAAACAATATAACACTTAGAAGCTATGTATAAGTAACATAGCATTCACATGAAAACTAAATGTTCCATATCTTGATGTGGTTGGTAGTTTTACTGATGTAAAAAGATACATGCATATTCTAAATATCGTGCATTTAAGATTTGTATTTCATGTATCTAAAATTCATAAAGTAATCCTTCTGTTTAAAAGAATACATATAGCAAAAACTACTGGACTCTGACTTCAACACTTACAATCTTGATAAATAAGTAAATGGAAAGGTATAAGATAGGTAAAACAGTTTACAATTGTGTATGTGTGATTAATATATAATATTTTGCTGCCTTATTTGCATTGTTTTCTAATTCTGAATATTTCTAAATGATTGTTTACTAGGATGCAGAGATAACTTTATTGTATTTCTTTTTTTAAAAGAATTATTTATTTAATTTTATTTATTAATTCATTCATTTAATTTTAATTTGACCAGAGCAAGACAGAGAAAGAGAGAGAGAGTGAGAAAGCAAGCCACCAGGTCCGGGACTCAAACCATAGTTGACCATGTGGGAGTGTCCAGCACCTTAACCACTACGCCACCTGCTGGTCCCAACTTTATTGTATTTCTAAAAAGCACAAATGACCATGTTGCAAAAAAAAAAAAACTAGGAAAGTAAATAAAGTTTAAACACTGAAAAAAAAAATATTTGTATTCTGCTTCAAGTCTGAGACTATCACATACTATATTAAAAACATGAAGCTAAAGTTAAAATTTTAACAGGTCGTAACAAGAAGTCAAAAGAACAAAAGATATCTTCTTCTTGGTAAGAAACATAATGCAAAAGAAGCTGAAAAGAGGCCTACAGAAATGTGCTGAATATTTTCTCGAAATCCATGGTTGATTTAGTGACTCCTGAGAAAGAGAGTTGTCCCAGAGACAGTGAATCTTAAGTGTAGATTAATTAGTTCCCATATCAATTAACAAATGCTTCAACTATCATCAATACTGCAAACTACCACCAGGGTCCAGTTGTAAGAAAAGTCATGCCTGTTGATTTCAATACAATAAAACCTCACAGAACATACATCTTAGTCACAGAGCACTCCTGAGATAAATTTTCAATGTAGTAAAAGCAGTCAATGTCTGCTTTCTCTCCAAATGGCTGGAAGGTAAAGAACATTCAGACACAAATAATCAATCAATATTCAAGCCTGAAATTATCAATTAAAACATTAGCAGTACATTTGCCCTGATTCTGAGGCCCAAATTGTAAAGTTAATTAACACTCATTTATGATTATTAAATTGTTTTAGAAAATTCATTAGACCCTCCTGAGGGCATTTCTGCAGGATTTCCCCCTGTTCCAGAGGAGGAGAAAGCCCCGGTGTCCCATCCATACATACCCTTTCGTCATTCGTCGCTCTGCTGGGCACTTCCTTTCCTTCATCAGGCAGAGGCAATCGAGACAGGGAGAGTCCGTTTAGGGCAGCCAATTTAAGAGGACCAATTTTTTTTGCATCTACTCGAGTTTTTTTCATTCCCTGTAAAAATATTTATACGTATATACAAAATATACACAAATACAATCCCTCTGAAAAGAAATTTCAATGGACTGATAGGAAACGAACAGGAGTGTTCTCCTTTGCCAACAACCAAAAGAGAAATTACACGCCTTCACACATCATTTGTTTAATAAACATTAGGAGGAAGACATTCCTTTCAAGGCCAAAGCCCTGATAAGTCTTCCAGATATACAAGTGTTTCTGAAAAGCAATTGGTTACAAGGCTCTGTTGTAATGAAAGGTGAGGCTCCCAGCAGGCAGCATTCCTCACGAATTTCAAAACATGGCAAAAAAAAATCAGCTGCAGTCCATAAAAGAGATGTTAAATGCAATCACTTAATTGTAATAAGCTTTCATAATTTTATTTTAAAAGAAAATGATTTACATCATTCTAAAAAATTAAATGCCTTCCACAGCCTTTATGTGTGGCTGCCTGTATCCTATTCTACATTCCACTGTCAACTTGTGGGACCTCTAAGAATGGCCATGTTTTCAAACCAGGAAAATGAAGCAGTGCTGAAATCTCCCTCATAACAAGGTGGACAGGACGGATGTCAGAGAGAGCATCAAGGGCCTGCCAGTGGTGTGGCGGATCAGGCAGTGCAGCGGTGCAGATGGCTGGATCCCACTTGGCTGCTCAGTTCGAAACCCAGACTTGGTGACTTGAAAAGAATATGCATAAGTGTGCATGCCCAAAGTCCTGAGAGGAAGACGGAGGAGAAGGACTGTGGTGTGGCCACCCCCACCCCTGGGGGGTGGGGTAAGGGGTGGGATTCTTTCTTTCCCTTTCTCTGTCTTTCTCCAGCAAGCACACAAGCCATACAGCAAGAAAAAAAAGAAACAAAAAAAAATCAACAGACTGCTTTCTCCTGAAAACAGGTGTTTTCTAAAGTTATTATAAAAGTTAAGGACTCCATTCTCCCCTCACTTTTCCTCCCCTCCCCTCCTGTGAGCCTTGTGCTCGGTCTCCAGCAGATGTAGCAATGGTTATGTAGTTGGACTCCCACAAAGTCAATCGCAGTTCAAGTCCTGGACACAGCGACTTAAAACACACAGGGCACATGTGCATGCATGCCAACCATCCCAAGAAGAGAATGGAGAAGAAGGGACTGCAGCTTGGCCATCCCCCTGGGGTGACTCACTTTTTGTCTGTCTTTGTCTGTCTCTGTCTCTCTGGTGAACTCACATGCTCTACAGCAAAAACCTCTCTTAAAAAAAAAAAGAAAGAAAGAAATAATGCTAGGTGTCAGTGGATATTTTACACCTCTTTGGAGTCATTAAAATTACAATCAGTGTAACCTCAACTTGAAAAAAATGGTTTTCTCTGCTGCTTCTCATACATAAAATCAGTTTGTTTTTTTTTTTGAGAGATTTTCACTGTAGGACACGTGCGCTCGCCAGACAGACAGAGAGAGATATAGAGACAGAAAGCGAGAAATCACCTCCCAGGGGGGATGGTCACGCCGCAATCCCTTCTCCTCCATTCTCCTCTCGGGATCTTGGGCACGCACGCACACGCGCCCGGCGTGAGTTTTAAGCCACCGGGTCCGGGACACGAACCGCGGTCGACTACGTGGGAGTCCAGCGACATAGCCATTACGCTAACTGCTGGCTCCCCATAAAATCAGTTTTATGACAGCTCTATCAGCCTAGAAAAGGCCAGGAAATCTCAGTCTCCTGGAGCAGTTTGCAAAGGGGGGGGGGGGGTGTACTATAACATTACTGCTATAGTTTGAATATATGGTTGGAACATAGCTCAAAAAATTAACTGGATTGATTTTTAATTTTATAATTCATATTTGACCCTGACGTTCTCATATAATGCAATCTGAACTAGGAATGGGTAGAGTCCAGCCTCTGACTGACTAGCTTCTTTCACGCAAGTCACTCTTCCTCTCTAAGCCTCACCTAAACAGAAATACAGACAGAGGCATTCACAAACACACTGGCTAAAAGTTTCCTGCTCAGTCTGAACTTAGTGTGTTGGTAATGTTTAACAACTGGCTTCCAGAAGGACAAGCTCTAATCATCACTTACCAATTTCTATGGCGTACATAGCCCCAGCACAGCCATGTTCAAACTGCCAATGCGATATCAACTGGCTCATAAAATTACTGAGAATTTAACAGCTAGCTCTCATTAGCCAGTATGAGCAGGCTCCAAGACTTTCCTTACTGAAAATAATTTTAAATGATCCCACACTGGTATGGTGGATAAAGCTGAGTGGTTGAGGGCCAGTTCCGAATTAAGTATTTGAAGAAAGCATAAAGTCAAACCTGGCCCAAAATATTCCTAATTCGCCCTTAGAGTAAGCCATATGGTTTTAAACGCATAACCTGCATCGTGATTTCTTATGTGAGAAGCATTGCACAAGACTAAAGGGTATAATAAAAAGTAAAATCTATGTAAATGCAAATGCACTTGAACCAGTCTGCCTTAAGATAATAATCAGTCCGTGAAGGTGGAGATGGGTGGAGAATTCTAAACTATTCCTTCTTGTCAGCAATTTATGTCACTGTTTTTAATACTAAACTTTAATAACTTTAATTCATATTAGTTCACTGTTTTAAGAATTAGGTAAGATAATGGAAACCTCATATTACTATGAAGGAGTGAGAGATGTAGTAGTGGGTTGGCCTCTTTGACTCTCAGGAAGTCAGTAAGTTAAGTGAATGAAGCAGTCTCACCATAATATCGACTGAGCACTTTCAAAGTGACAGGACCTCATTCTGTTCCCCCGGAAATTTCGGGGTCATCTCACTTACAAATGAGAAAACTGAATCACAGAGAGATTAAATAGCTTGCCCAAGGTCACATATGTAGCTGCCTCTCTTAGAAGGAAATCAGTGTCAAAACAAGAAAAACAATCTTTCATTAAACTCAGTTATGCTGAGTCATATAATTGAGAAAGGATTTTTCTTTCCTTTTCTGTTTTTATTTGTTTGTTTGTTTGTTTTGAGAGATTTTTGCTAGAGGACACATGCACTCACTGGAGACAGAGACAGAAAGCGGGGAACTGCCCCAAAGCAGAGAGCCACTGCAATCCTTTCTCCTCCATCCTCCCCTCAAGATTTTGGACATGCATGCACATGCGCCTAGCATGAGTCTCAAGACTCTGGGTCCGGGACTCGGACCAAGGTCAGCCATGTGGGACTCCAGCAACATAACCGTTATGCCATCTGCCGGTCCTGAGAAAGAATTTTTCCAAGCCTGACCTCAGGGGGGTGTACTATAACATTACTGCTATAGTTTGAATATATGGTTGGAACATAGCTCAAAAAATTAACTGGATTGATTTTTAATTTTATAATTCATATTTGACCCTGACGTTCTCATATAATGCAATCTGAACTAGGAATGGGTAGAGTCCAGCCTCTGACTGACTAGCTTCTTTCACGCAAGTCACTCTTCCTCTCTAAGCCTCACCTAAACAGAAATACAGACAGAGGCATTCACAAACACACTGGCTAAAAGTTTCCTGCTCAGTCTGAACTTAGTGTGTTGGTAATGTTTAACAACTGGCTTCCAGAAGGACAAGCTCTAATCATCACTTACCAATTTCTATGGCGTACATAGCCCCAGCACAGCCATGTTCAAACTGCCAATGCGATATCAACTGGCTCATAAAATTACTGAGAATTTAACAGCTAGCTCTCATTAGCCAGTATGAGCAGGCTCCAAGACTTTCCTTACTGAAAATAATTTTAAATGATCCCACACTGGTATGGTGGATAAAGCTGAGTGGTTGAGGGCCAGTTCCGAATTAAGTATTTGAAGAAAGCATAAAGTCAAACCTGGCCCAAAATATTCCTAATTCGCCCTTAGAGTAAGCCATATGGTTTTAAACGCATAACCTGCATCGTGATTTCTTATGTGAGAAGCATTGCACAAGACTAAAGGGTATAATAAAAAGTAAAATCTATGTAAATGCAAATGCACTTGAACCAGTCTGCCTTAAGATAATAATCAGTCCGTGAAGGTGGAGATGGGTGGAGAATTCTAAACTATTCCTTCTTGTCAGCAATTTATGTCACTGTTTTTAATACTAAACTTTAATAACTTTAATTCATATTAGTTCACTGTTTTAAGAATTAGGTAAGATAATGGAAACCTCATATTACTATGAAGGAGTGAGAGATGTAGTAGTGGGTTGGCCTCTTTGACTCTCAGGAAGTCAGTAAGTTAAGTGAATGAAGCAGTCTCACCATAATATCGACTGAGCACTTTCAAAGTGACAGGACCTCATTCTGTTCCCCCGGAAATTTCGGGGTCATCTCACTTACAAATGAGAAAACTGAATCACAGAGAGATTAAATAGCTTGCCCAAGGTCACATATGTAGCTGCCTCTCTTAGAAGGAAATCAGTGTCAAAACAAGAAAAACAATCTTTCATTAAACTCAGTTATGCTGAGTCATATAATTGAGAAAGGATTTTTCTTTCCTTTTCTGTTTTTATTTGTTTGTTTGTTTGTTTTGAGAGATTTTTGCTAGAGGACACATGCACTCACTGGAGACAGAGACAGAAAGCGGGGAACTGCCCCAAAGCAGAGAGCCACTGCAATCCTTTCTCCTCCATCCTCCCCTCAAGATTTTGGACATGCATGCACATGCGCCTAGCATGAGTCTCAAGACTCTGGGTCCGGGACTCGGACCAAGGTCAGCCATGTGGGACTCCAGCAACATAACCGTTATGCCATCTGCCGGTCCTGAGAAAGAATTTTTCCAAGCCTGACCTCATGTAGGACTTCAGCAGGTAGAGCAGGGAAAACCACCACCATGTTATAGACACGGAAGCTGAGGTTCTGATCCATGAAGGAGCCCTCTCAATGGAGAACAGATGGACAGGGTCTAGACTCAGAACCAAGGTTTGTTATTTTGGGCTTGTCTTTTTTGTGGGGGGAGGTTTTTGCTATAGCGCATATGCGCTTGCCAGAAAGACAGAGAGACAGAGAAACAGAAAACAAGAAATCACCCCACCCCCACCCCAAGGAGGATAGCCATGTCGCAATCCCTTCTCCTCCATTCTCTTTTTGGATCTTGGGCATGCACGCACACACATCCGGCGTGAGTTTAAGCCACTGGGTCTGGGACTCAAATCGCAGTCAGCTACATGGGAGTCCAGCGACACAGCCATTACGCCAACTGCTGGTCCCCAGACCCAAGATTTTTAACTCTTAAAAAACTGTACTCTTGGGAGCCAGCAGTTAGCGTAATGGCTATGTCGCTGGACTCCCACATAGTCGACCACGGTTCGTGTCCCAGACCCGGTGGCTTAAAACTCATGCCGGGCGCGTGTGCGTGCGTGCCCAAGATCCCGAGAGGAGAATGGAGGAGAAGGGATTGCGGCGTGACCATCCCCCCTGGGGGGTGATTTCTCGCTTTCTGTCTCTATGTCTCTCTCTGTCTGTCTGGCGAGCACACGCGCCCTACAGTGAAAATCTCTCCAAAAAAAAAAACTGTACTCTTTCCTCTTGACCATAAGTGTCAAATGCAGTCTTTGAGCAAGTAGAATCCCTTATGCAAGAGATTAATAAGAGAGAAAATCTGTTTTTTAAGAACATCAATTTGATCAAAGTCCTCCCATTTAGCTGAACTTCTCAGGTCCCATTCAAAACAGGGATAAAACTGGCTTAAATACCAGGCTCTAATCAAAACAAACATCATTTGGGGAGAGAGCCTGGTCACACCTAAAAACAATAATGGGACAAATGTTGGGCCAGTCGTTGGCATGGTAGTTAAGGAGCTGGATTCCCACATGACCAACTGCAGTTCAAGTCCCGGACCCTGTGGCTTGAAAATCACACCAGGTGCACATGTATGTGCCCAAGGTCCTGAGAGAATGGAGCAGGGATTGCAGAACTGCCATCTCCCCGGGGCAGGGGGTGATTTCTACTTTCCCCGTTCTCTGCCTATCTCCTCTCCAACAAGGAGTGCATGTGCCCCATGGCAAAAACCTTAAAATAATTAATTAACTGAAAAATGATGGGACATCTACTAGTTATAGAAGGGCCCTGGGCAGGCTCAGGGACTCAAGAATTTTTTGGAAAACCCACCTCCACTCTGTATCTGTCCTGAATCACTGCTCATCATCAGCCCATACTCCTAACCCAGTCTGCCTGAAGCACTGGCCTTACTGCTCATGTAGGTAAGATTGTACCCCCAGGAAAAGTTAGAAATAAACTTAAAATTCAAATCTGAAACTGATGAAAAGAAAACACATTTAAATCCATGGCACTTTGAATGTAATAAAATATTATATATAGTATACCTCAATGTAAAACTGCGTAAGGCAAGAAAACAGGTTGCAAAGAAAAATGTGGATTTAAAACTCCAGTTCAGTCATATGTGACCTTGGGAAGGTTACTTACTATCTCAGTGTATTTCTGGCTTTAATTACAGGCTGGTTGTAACTAGACACAGTAAAGCAGAAGTGCTTGGCACATGGCAAATGCTCTAGAAATGGCAGCTAGAGGTGGTACTGTTGTGCTTGGTTTTATTTTGCTTCAAATAGTTAAGAAGCACCCGATTCATATTTTTTTTATTACACTGACTATTAAAGACCTGCATTTCTACAAGAGACCGTCCTTTAGATGCTCAGTTCACTTCATTTTTCTTTTAAAGAGACCTGGAGCTCTTGGTTTTTTGTCTTTGCAAAGCGCTGCCTTCCCAACTCCAGAATCACTCCTCCAGTCCTCGGAGGTCATGGCTAAGCGACTCGAGCTGTACCCACACAGCCTCCGACCTTGAGAACTACACAAAGCATTAGGGACCGTATCACAGCTGTCCTGCTCTTCAGCCTCTTCTGCTTTGGACATATCCCTGGATATTTCTCTCAGACATCACTTGAACAAACCAGACAAATATGGCTCTTGGTGCTGCAATGCCACCCTTTTTTCACTTTGGTTTGGTTTTGTGTTATTGCCAGAGGTCACAAGTACTCGCCAGAGAGAGACAGAGAGAGAAAAAGCACCCCCCCCCTACAGGGTGTGGGCACATGGCAATTCTTTTTCCTCTACTTCCCCTTCCTGCCAGGATTTCAGGCACACCTGCACAAGTACCTGGTGTACTTTTCGAGTCACCAGGCAGGAATTCTGACTTGGTTGGCCATGTGGGATCCAGCTCCCAGAGCAGCACGTAACTACTGTGCTATGGCTGGCCCCCCACCAGGGATTTTTTAACAAGTGTCTAGCAAAGTAATCTTGGCTAGTATCAGGAAATCTCAACTTCCTTTTCCACATTACACACAGAGATTTCATTCACTCTCTATTCCATTCACACAGCCTGGTGCATTTCCCTTCTCATTTCAGATTATCTACAGTCCCTAGAAAACCACTAAAATTAGTTTTTTAATTGCCAGAGGGCACATGCGCTCACCAGAGAGACAGAGGGAAAAAGGGGTGGTTACCCCCCAATTCCATCTCCTCCATCTCTCCCTCCTTTTGGGGTTTTGTGCCTGGTGTGACTCTGAGGTGGCTGGGGCAGGGACTCACACAGCTGGCCATGTTGGATTCGCTCCCCTTAACCCTTAGGCCATCACTAACATTCTAATAGATTCCTGGTATTGCCATAGACAAATATGTTCAAGATAAGATAAAATACAGTAACATGGAGGGGATGAAAAATGTCAAAAGAACAAGAGAAAAGGTGAATAACATGGTAAGTAAGGAGTCAAAGACAAGTCGGCAGACATGACCAAGGAGATGTTGAACCACCAGAATAAAGAGCGCTCCCCGGCTTACCCCTAAGGGCGGCAGTCCTTCCACGATGTTCTTCTTCGCAGAGAGCAGGTCTGACACCGGCCTCTTCTTCAGGGAATCCCTCCTGGCCCGGTACCTCCCCGAGGTGGTCAAGTCAGACTCCGACATGGAGGGCGTCAGCAGTCCATCCCTCCGAGGCCGCTGGCCTTCTGCTGGAACATGGACCGGGCTGCTGTCCCTCACCTTGCTCTCGGCCTCCGGGACGTGGGCCTTGGGCTCAAGAATGTGCAGCGGGCCAGCGAGGGTGGGGACCGAGGCACAGGTGCAGCCCAGCGGCCGGGACTCCCGGGGCCGTGCAGGCAGAGAGGCCAGGGCTCTGCTTTCCTCTTCCAGCTCCTCCTCCTCCTCGCTGCTGTGGATCAGCATGGTGGCATCGGACAGGGACTTCTTGTGACCATATCGCAAGCTGTCCTGCTCTTCGGCCTCTTCTGCTTTGGTTCTTTCCAGGAAGCCACTGGGCTGCGAGCCCGCCGTGGGTGCCCGCGGGGCCACATCTGCGGCCGAGGCCGACATGGTCCGCTCCTTGAGCCGCAGGCCCTCGAAGCCATGCGTCAGCCCCGCCAGCTCCAGGCTGTTCCTCTTCTGCACCTGGGCACGCCGGGCCGCTGTGAGCGGCTCGCTGACCTCCTGCAGAGAGTGCGCCACCGGCAGGCTGTCCTCCTGGAACGTCTGCACCGAGTGATGCACGCGCCTGGTGATGAGGTCCGGGTTGCTGCTGCTGATGTACAGGTGGCGGGACAGGTCTGGGGTGCTGTTGGCCGGCCTCGGGTAGGGGTAGGGCGGGGGTGGCCGGTACACCTGCGTCTTCATGATGTTGGGGGCCGGGTAGTCCTGGGCCTGCAGCTGCACGTTGGTCAGCTCAGGCACGCTGACGGCGCCCACCACTGGCCGCCGCTCGGCCGGGTAGGGGTAGGGGGACTGGCTGTGGAAGCTGTAATTCAGGCTGAAGGGGCAGTGCGCAGACTGGGGCGACGCGAAGGGGGCGTGCTCGCGGATCTCAGGCTGGCTGTAGACCAGCGCGTCGGGCCGGCTGTAGGCGTAGGAGTTGCCGATGCTCAGGTTCTGCAGCGAGCGGCTCTGCCGGTCCGCATGCACCATCCCGCGGTTGAGCTGCTTCATCACGGTCTCGTAATCCGGGGTCGGGCGGTAAGAAGGGGGGATCAGGGCGCTGTGCCGGTGGGATGGGACATAGTCAGGCCGCATGACGTCGCTGCCGGAAATGCTGGGGTTGGAGGACATCGGGGAGGGCTGAAGGTAGGGCTGAGGGTTATTCAGGGAGTTGGTGCTGTGCGCACTGTAGACACTGCCATTGCGGATTCGACCGCTGAGCTCCATCTGGGCTCTATCCAAACTCGTCTGAGAGTGGCAGTAGTATCCATTCTGGTTGGGCATGAAGAGGTTATCTGAAAAAGTAAAGGAAAAATGTACTTTAAAATGATCTTTAGTTGGACTACTACTTCTAGCCAAATATTGAGATAGGCCCTGAACTTTGATGACATTTTCAAGATGACTTAGAGATATTCATGCTCAAATGATCTGGTTTCCCCACCACCGGAGTGACCCCGAGAGCCTCAGTTTCCTCACCTATAGAATGGAGATGACTCTGCCCACCTAAGGGGTGGCATTCGGAATCTGGCGCCTGGTAAAGACCAGGCACATCTAAGTCCAATATTACGAGTTTAACTGAGGAGACTAGGAGGTAGCATAATGGTTATGTCACTGGACTCCCATGTAGTAGACCGCAGTTCAAGTCCCAGACTCGCAGCTTAAAACTCATGCTGGGTACATGTGTGTGCACGCCCAAGATCCCAAGAGGAAAATGGAGAAGGGATTGTGGTGTGGCCATTCCCCCCAACCCTGGGGGGGAGGTGATTTCTTGCTTTCTGTCTTTCAGCATGTGTACACACTTCGTTAACAACAACAACAAAACTCTTTAGAAACGAAAAGAAAAAAGAATTTAACTGGGGCCAGCAGATGATGTGGAAGTTAAAGCACCAGATCCCACGTGGCGCTCCTATTGGCCAACTGAGCAGTTCAGTCATGGATCCTGCGGCTTAAGAATCAGGCTGGGCTAGGACCAGCAGATGGCATAATAGTTATGTCATTGGACTCCCACATAGTCAACAGAAGTTCAAGTCCTGGACCCAGCGGCTTAAAACTCCCAACAGGCGCATATGCATATGTGCCCAAAATCCCAGGAAGAAAAGGGATTGTGCTGTGAACATCCCCCTGGGGATTGATTTCTTACTTTCTGTCTCTCTCTGTCTACCTGGTGAATGCCCTACAGCAAAAATATCTCTTTAAAAAAAAAAAAGAATCAGACTGAGAGAATGGCAGGTGGCATGGGTTAAAGTACTTGACACCCACATGGCTGACTGTGGTATAAGTCTTGGACCTTGCAGCTTATGCTTTCTCTCTATTTCTCTCTCTGGTCAAATTCTAAAAAAATTAAATTACACTAATAATTCTGAATTTAAAAAATCATGCTGTGTGCATACGCATAAGTACCCAAAATCCCAATGGGAGAATGGAGGAGAAGGAACTGTGATGTGGCCATTCCACCGAGAGGGTGATTTTTCACTTTTTCTGTGAACGCACATATAGCAAAAACTAAAAAAAACTAAAAAAATTAAAAAAAGGTGTAACTATATCACAAAACATTGTCTTTTTTTAAACATGTGTTCTACTAGAGACACTAAACAGCTTTCTGGAACTCTGGGAACTCAAGGAAGAGCCGCTACTGAAGATGCTGAGCTTCTCACTGCTTCTCCCTGGGCGGGGACGTGGCCTTGCTGATGTGAGCAAGTCCCAGCACCATGGTCTCTAAAAATTGCCTTAACTGCAATTTTAGACTGTTTGTATAAGTTCTTCCAGAATAAAGATAAAGGCTTTGACTAATAAGCAAGCAATCATAGGGCAAGACCTCACCTTCCATATGCGGTGGGTCACCAGTGGCCGCACACCCCCTAGGGGACAAAGGCCCAGCAGAGCCACACTGGCGGCTGGTGCTCCCTGCCCTGGCCCTCTGCTTCAGCAGCACTGGGCTCCATGGTGCACAAAAGTAGGAGTCAAATCTGCTCTTACAGAGGCTGCATGTGTGCACCTGTCCCCTCCTAGAAGGAACCAGGTTTCTCCCAGCCGAGCTGTAGCTCACCTGGAACGCTGTTACCACTGAGGGCAATTTTCAACACAAAGAAAATCACAGGCAAGTCCTTCAGAAACCACTTCCTTTGAAAAACAGTCTTTATTTTGCTTCAAAAGCTCCATGACAGTAAAAGCGACAAGTGGTTATCTAAGTGACATGGTATAATCTAGTAGGTACACTTTATTCTGTAGTGCACACAGCTCGGAAGAAACAGCACTTGAACGTCAATTGCATTCTTCCT